TGTTAGATCTGATCACAAATAAACTAGAAGACTCCATTATTTTTATGGTGTAATAAATATTTATATGAGGGACTGTGAAGGCTCTGCTTCGAGTCGTATATACATCTGCATCAAGAGGAGGAAATCAAAACAAGCTGGGTTAGATCACCTTCTGTCACTGCACTGAAATAAAAAATGCCAGGGAATGAGCACCTAAAGCACAGGCTCCTTTGCTGAACTCATTCCTCTGCTCTTTTGTTATCAGATCCAGTGAGTTAGAGAGCACCACTGACCATCCATTTTCCCTGTACAGAAGCATAGGAAAGAACTTTTATGTTAAGTGACAAGGACGTTTCACTTCTCAGCAGACTACTTAGCTTAATCCATCCACCACAACCCAAGCTAGGGTTTGGAGTCACAGTTGCTACAGTCTTGTGCTGACTCCAAAACCAAGCCCAGATTCCTTCTACCTAGGATGAGGAGTTATATTGCTGTGGGCTCTTTGTATACATGATGGAGAGAGACAGGGTCCTTGAGAAGTAGACATAGATCCTGATGTTAGAGGTCAGCTGAACATGTCTAGCTCAGTCTCCGTCATTCAGGGACGTAGCTACTGTATAAATGTATTTGTGAACCTGTCAGGTGCCCTGAATATGACCATGATATCACTCCACTAAATGGAAAAAGGGTAATGGTTTTACATCTAAGTTCTTCCTCTTTCAGTCTCTTAATTAGACCATTAACTCACACTCAGATACAAGTAGGAAAAAGGCCATTTTTTAAAATTGGCTTCCCTTGGTATAAACAAGCCACTCGGAGACACAGGCAAGAGACAGCTGTAAACAGCTCAATAAAGGGGCAAAGGGCTCAGTGGGCTGAGGGATATTAATGCTTAGTTGCTTGCAAATAGCCCTTTTCCCATAGACCTCCCTATGTTCTGTGTATTCTCTCTGTGCATGCTGGCAGCAAAGTGGAGGTTTTTATTAAGAAAGCTACAAATAAGGTCAAATTCCTTTAGGAGCTTTTCAGAGTTCCCAAGTCATTCAAGGAGGGGTCCAGCTGTTTGCAGGGATTTCTCATTACGGTCAGAGACACAAGTTACAACATGTTTCCAGTTAAAAGAGAATCCTGGCAGATTTTCTCTTTAACATGACAGGGATAGGATAGCGATCTTCACAATACTTCCCCTTCACAGATGCTAAGCACAGTCATATATACAATAGACAGAGAGAAAACATGCATGTGGCGTTGTGTGGTGTGTGAAGTCTAACTCGGGGATCTTACATAACCCAAAAGCAGCACAACAGAGGCTTGGATATGCAGGTATTAAAGGGCTACACCATCATGATACCTCAGATCCCTCCACCAGAGCACCTACCGTACCTCATGTCTGCAGAATCCAAGAAACTCATGTCCAACTCTGGTGAACTTTATCTCCTCAACACTCCTACAGCAGTACAAGGTCTTCTTTTTCAAGGCAGAAACAACACAAATTAAATTATTTGTTCCCCTACCTTATGGCTGAGCCAGAAATATATGCAACGCTCTGTTAGGCCACCCTTCCTCCCCATCTTAGACCTCAGTTATTTAAAAGCTGCATCTGTTTAAGCTGTAGATTTCTAAATTCATCCCAAATGTACACTTTGTTCACAGAATAAAAATAAAATAAAATTATATTAACTGTTTTTCATTAGGAGGGGAAGAAAAGATACTCTTCCCCACCTTTGGGGGGCAAGTACGGGTTCTTCACTCATCAAGTAACTCAGGCTGCCTGGATAAAAATAATCACTGCAAACTTGTCCAGAACCTACTTCCCAGGAAGAAGCCCTTTGCCAAGGCTCAGACTTGACACAAATCATCAAGTACACTGAAATTCAAACAGAGCAAATTTTCCATATGCAGAACATAGCTGGGTTCTGCCTTACGGGAACTGAATGCTGCCACAAAGTCTGAGTCATACAATCATATTTGTAAGATCCGCTCGTTGCGAATGCCTGGGATCAAAGGCTGTCATGGAGCAGCCCTCCCTGTATCGCAAGGCTGTGGAAACATGCAGGGAAATATTCTCTAGCTAGAGAAAGCTCTGATTTATAAGCTGTGATGTTTTCACCTGCTCCTGAAGGAACAGCATTGCCTGCTGGGCTAGGCAGGCCCGTGGCAGGAGTACAATTTCTGGAGCAGGTTGAGGGACACCACGTGCCGTTCCCACGACTGCTAGTGGCAGCTGCTAGCACAACCCCTTCACTTCAGGGCTGCAGATGTAGGAGGGACCACTATTTATCACAGCACGCTGTGGGGAAGCATGGTGTGAATATGATTTTCACTGATTTGGGTTGCAGATGGATCCTACACAGTTTCTCCTGTGAGGCGAAGAAAGTGCAATAACCAGAGCCACAGCTCACCTTTCTTTCCTGCATCACTAGAGCTCTGTCCCATCAAGTTAGCTCACACAAATAGAATCATAGAATGGTTCAGGCTGGAAAGGAACTTAAGATCATCTAGTTCCCACACCCATGCCACAGGCAGGGACACTTACTAGTCTAGGCTCTACTAGATCAGGTGCTCAAAGCCCCATCCAGCCTGGCCTTGAACACTGCCAGGGATGGGGCAGTCACAGCTTCTTCGGGCCCAATGCCTCACCACCCTCACACTGAAGAACTTCTTCATCATACCTAAACTAAATCTCCGCTAAGTTTGAACTCATTACCCATGAAAGGAAGGTCACAATAAGCAGAGACTGCCTGTAGCATTGGCAGCATCATGCTGAGACAGTGAGCTATTGCTGAACATACCAGCAGACCTTGATGAACAGTCACATAAGGCTGGTAATTGAGAGATGGATGAAAGACCACCTGCTCACTCACTTTTGTGTGGTTTTTTTTTAAGTTAAACTCACACACGCACCCTCTCCACTCAGGATTTCAGCATGCAGACAACATGAGCATAAATAGCTGTACTGTCTTTCACCCTGCACACACAGCGCCCAAAACTCTGGGAAAACCTGTGGGAGGCATTGATCAGTGGTGGGTGACCCACCTCTCATCCCCAGCCCTGCAGGTCATGCAGCTAGCCACTGCCCCAGACACACTTCCTATCTTCTCTTTGGTGTTATGCAGGCAGGACATACTTACTCTCTCAGAAATCCAGGCTATCTAAACAGATACTCCAGATCCCAGTAACACCAGGCATGCTAATATTTGCTTCTGTTCAACAATTCAGTCCTTTTTAGTATCATTTTACAGCTTAAAACCTTTCACTGGATTTTATCATAAAGCTACCTCAGCATCCCCACCACTAGCTTGGCATTACTTTGTATTGAGCCTGCTCTTGTAACCAGCTTCATTGAAGAGCTGACACTGGAGGAAGGCCCTGCTTCATCCCAGCACACAGGCATGCTACACTCTAGGATCAGATATCTTGGGCAAACATCCCAAATTGTAGAGATCACAAGGCCAATTTGAGAACAACAGGGCATATAAGCACTGTAGATGGTATGGCACATGCAGCCCTGCCATCACACCTCACTGCTTGTTCTCTTAGCTACAGCTTTGGTCTACCAGCTCCACTCCTCCCATCCTGTTTTCTAGTGCCACATTCCTTCTCAGCCACTACAAGTTTCAGGACTTTGTTTCTGGGCAAAGAAGAGTAAAACTTTACCTTTTGTGGCTTTACATAGAGTTTGCTTCACACTGACATTCAAGACCACTTCCCAGTGCTAGTACATTGTCACCAGTACATGCCTGTTTCTGCTCTCTCAGCAAGGACAAAGGTGTGCTCAGGTATATGCTATATGCTAGAAACCCATCAAGTTTCGCTGACTCAGCAAGTTATCACCCAGCAGCCAAACCACCCACACCCCAACAACCTGTGCACACACTCTTAGCCCATCCCAAACACCACATGAAAGAGGTCTAGGCTAACATGTTACACATACCTATTTCAGCTTCTGCACCCTGGCAAATGGGCACAACAGGAGCACCTCCAGGGACATTGGTCACCTCAGGAGACTGGAGGTAACTTGTTAAAAAAACAGTGACTCTCCTGCCATGCATTTGAACTGTGGGACTGGGTAGGGACCCTACACTGCCGAGCTGCACTGCAAGTGCTCTGGCTTTCTCAGCTACACAACTAAGGCACTCATCACACTGCACAAATAACCTGACTGGCCTGATTCCACCTCTGGTTTCCTACTGACACACATCGTCTGAGTATCATATTTCTGAGCAGTTACTTCACATGCTTCCGTTTGAATAGCATTTAACTCCAAAGGGCACTGGATCAGCAGTTGTGAAGTCAAAGATCCACAGATACAACTGAACAGATATCAGCACAGGCAAAAGCAGCAGGCCAAGCTTTGTTGTATAGCCTTCCCTGGAAGCAAGTCCTTTGGGAAGTCAGTTGATCCACTCTCACCTCTGCAGAGGAAGATTATGAGGAATGCTGACCACAGGATTTTGCACTGCAGACAGCTCCTCTCTCTGCCACAGCCTAAAATACTCGAAGTCATTTCACATTGGCTCAAGAACAGACAGTTTTAGTGAATGTTTTTAAATTTATTTATCCTTAAAACACAGGAATATAGGAAACTACGATAGTGTGAGAGTAGAGAAGAAACTTGAAGGTACTGTAAGTTAACCATAACATGATGAAACCGAACAATTTGATCTTTGAATTTTCACCCCTTGCTTCAAATACACTAAAAGTTTAAATGCAATGTCAACGCTTGACTTTGCCATAGATGGTCCATGACACCCACCAATAATGTGCTCCTCCATATTATAGATAGGGGCACAGTCTATGGTAGCTTGGCTAGGGTGTCTAGCTGAACCTCATTTTGCTGCCTATGATGATACTCGCCACTGGTTAACAGAGTAAAACACATGAGGAGCACCACCATAGCAGGCTGCATGCCCCAGTCCTTCTTTTCCTTATCAGGAGTGGTGCCCACTCTACCATGAAGACAGTAATTGAAACCACACTGCACAGATCACTGCAATCTGTCAAGCCGTTCCGCTGCTTACCAATCATAGGCATCCCTAGGTTTTGGTATGGGCACTCCAGGCTGCCTCCTTGTGTTCTTCCAAAGATAGCAGAGTAAATGGCAATCACCATGCTCTTCTTACAGCTTAGCCTCAGCTTGTCATCTTCACAGGCTACTTTACTCTTGTATTCATCTGGAATGAAACAAACACACAGCAGATCCGAGGTGGGCACTCAGCATGAACAGAGCCCTCTCACCCCCCATGGTGTGAGCTTGTCAGAGGCAGCAGTGATTTTGAGCGTAAGCCCCAGGGGCGCACATCCACTGCCAGCACAATCCCAGCCTTACAACTGCATTTGCTGGAGTAGCACTGATCAATTGCATTATGCATTCTCTCTCTGGCATTATCATCATATTTAATGAACATATTTTAACTTAGCGTGTGTGAGTTCCAGTAAATAGCCAATAAATTAATTTTCCAGACAAATAAGTGAGGCATAGCAATTGAGTGATTTCCACATGGTGATATTAGAAGCCTGTGGCAGGGGAAGGTAAAAGGCCGTACTTAGACACCTTTCTCATCCACAGATCAGCCCTTTATGTGCCAAGCATTTATTCTACATCACTGCAGCTCATAATTATGCTTGATAGCTTTTTTTTCACAGCAGCTCTCCCTTGGCAGATTCAATAGGAGATATACTAAATATGTTAACTCTGGAAGCTGCTCTTGCCTGTTGCAAATACAGATATGCAAAGCTGCTCCCCAAACCCTTCTTGAGATGGTCAGACCAGGAATGCAAAATACTCTCCTGCTTTTGTAAGGTTGGTGCACACTGAACAGTAACTCAGAACTGTCAAGGAGACTGGGCAATTACTTCTTAAGAAATCACATGTCATTCCCTTCTTTTACTATTATTTGTATTAGCAGAACCTCTAGAGGTCCCAACCTAAAACAGGCCCTCTCCATGTATGTGACCAACACACCACAGGAGACAAACACTGTTCTGAAGAGCCAGGTCTTGCCAGTCGAACATCTATAACTATAAGAGAAAAAGACTAAGAAAACTGAAGTGGCATGTCCATGGTCACCCCAGCCAACCCAGGGCACAGTCAGGAACACAACTTCAGCCTCAGCCTCTGTAGAATGACCTTCCACTTGATTGTGTTACTTGCCGTTAGAAACATAGCCACAGTGTCATCCAAATTGCTTAGTGGAAAGGGTCCCTGACCCATGGTAACCTCCCAAGCATGATCAGTTGTTTCGTCTGAAATGCTTCCAGCTGTAGCAGGTCAAAATTGTGCCACAGAGTAAACTAACAACCAAGCAGCGTGGATAATAATCAGCCAAAGCCTGGGGCTGCCCCTGGCCTGTACCATTTGCTAGCATACACATGATTTTTGTCTCTCCCTGTCATTGGTTCTCTATGCCTAATATCACACACACATATATATGAGAACTTACGTGTAAATCCACATGCACTCAGCTACTCAGCAACTGAGAATGCTAACTAATTATTACTTTATAGTTTAATACTTAAGTCTTTACACCATGGCAGCTAGCACTTAACATGACATTTTTGACTCATTATAACTATAGGCTCAAGAATCATTTTACCTTATTGAAGATGTTGAGGAATTTTCCATCAAAGTTTAATCATAGAATAATTTAGGTTGGAAGACTCCTCAGGAGGTCTTCTGCTTTAACTCATGCTCAATGCAGGATTAATTCTCACAATCCAGGTGAGAAACTTAACCCTAGACACTATCCCAGCTCATAACCCTCCTTCCCACTCTGCTGCCTTTTTACAAAAATCTTTGGAATATCCTTATTTTTGTGCCACTGCAGGGAAACTTTCAAACCTCTAAAATATTTATTGAATGGGAAAATACTCTTTCATCCATCCCTGTGGATGAAACCTAACTAATTCATGGGAGAATCTGTGTGAAGAACACACATCCTTCAGTAATACCTACAGGGTAAACCCATGACCAGCTGAGCTTGTAAAATAGTAACAGTGATCAGGAATAGAAGCTCTTTTCAACTTCAGAGTTGATGTTGAAAGAGAGGGCGAGATGTACCTCATACAGCTGTGAAGAATCAATCATCAATCTATGTATCTAGGTATTCCATCCACAATCACCATGAAATCATCTGACTAATACACTGAACATACTGAGAGTTATCATATTCACTTATAATTGTCTCCCATAGGTTTTTTGTTTCTTCTGTGAGGGAAACAGGATCAAAGCTTTAATCTGACTACACAGTGTAAAACTTAGCAGAGTACATTAAAACCTTATAGACTGAATAGATTATTTTAGTTCACGGGTTAAAAAACAAACAATCAAACACAACCCACCACACAACAAAAAAATCCAAAGCCAAAGCACAAAAGGACAAAACTCTGAAATAGGACAAGCTATATATATCTTATGTCAAACTAATATGATAGAAAGGGAGAGTACCTGTGACTGGCTGAAGTGTTTGAAATATGAAATAGTTTATTAACTTTAGGAAAAGATCAATTTTGAAGTCTCTAATGAGCAAATGCCATGGTTCTCTGTGAAGGTCTTATTTCTTACAAGGCACCAACTTAATTTCCTCTGCCGATTTGTTTATTATTAGCTACATCTTCCAATTAACAAGTGTAACTGATTGCTTAACCATATGTCCTCTGGACCCATTTAAGGTCCTTAGAGTATTTAGTAAATTCTTTTGACCATTCAAAGTCAGGGCTTGTTATTTGGAAACTTGACTGGGTTTTAAACACAGATTGTTTAACACTGGGATGCACAGGTATTCACATTTCTATTGCAAGTCAATCCAGCAGTCTTGAGACAGCAACAAAACTCTGCCTCTCACATTTGCAGTTCTTACCCTTGAGGCCACTCTGGGAAGTTGTGTGCAGGGCTCATGGTGGAAGATGCCTGATGAATGGCTCAAGATACTAGACCAGGGAGGTGAATCTAAATGCACACTCCTTGGGAATCAGTGCACTTTATGGGGTGATGTGCTGCTGGCACACTGCAGCGTATAGTAAGAGGACTGTGCCACCCGAGACAGATGCTGCCTCTTGATCACTAAATTCTGCCCTAGGAAACACCTGTCAGACCTGCCAGTTCCCAAGGCTCTGACTGAGTCCAAACTGGTTGGGGCTGCCACTCCCTGGGCTAGTACAGGTAAAAGACACTGCTTTCTTAAAAGGAAGAAAAAAGAAAGGCCAAATACACAGCAGTATTTCAGACTCCCAATAGGTGGCCTAAAGCTTGATCACTGGAGAGCAGATACTCTCAGTGTTTCTGGGCAACCTGATAGAGATCTGGGTAAACAAACAGATAGAAAGTGATGTTACAGAGAACATAGGGCCCTGAAAGTATTTTCTGCTTCATAGCCAGAATGAATCAGACATTGATGTCTCCCAGGCATTGGACAATGGTAAGGACTATGATTAATGTAAAAAAAATACAGAGCTAAGCATCATCCGTATATTTACTGGTACTTCAACCCATAATAGCCTTATATAAATATTGAAAAGAACCAAGGCAGTGTAAGTGACATAAGAGAGCTGGGACTGGGAACAAACCTGCATTTTTCTCTCTCACCCTCCCAGGAAGAACTGGCCTCCTACAGATCAATCACAATCTGGTCCTAAGCCTGCTATAACTGTTACAGTCTGGATATAATTCAGTCCAAATGCAAACATTTGTATTAGTGGGTTTCATGTTTCACCCTGAAAAATTAAACATGCTTAAATGGCCTAGGAAAGGTGGCAGTGATATTCAGCAAATGGCTTACTCAACTCTAATCCCCCGTACAGTCATTTGTAGGGCAACAGAGATTTACCATGATTAAGATATTTGCTAAGGATAATATGCCTTTTATTGCTGCCTGTTTTCAGAGACACCAGCTTAAATATAACTCAGTAGACAGAAACGAAGGAGGGAACAGCTGTAGGCTTTTCTATACACATTTTTAAAGGTCATTATATGACATGGATATAACATAGCCAGAATAATTAAGGGAAAACAATTATAAATGTTTCTAATGGAAAAATTGGCTCTCAAACAGCAAAGTGAACAAGAAGACCCTTTGTACTTACAGGATGCATACAGTAATGTTCAAGTATTGACCTGTAGTAAATAAATTTACCTAATGTCTTAAGAATATTTTCATCTATGGTCCATGACAATTTTCTGAATGATCATGATTAGGAAGCTCAACACTAAATGCCAATTGGCTCAATCTCTGTAACACCTTAGATATAAAAGCTCCTAAAAAGATTTCGCGTCTAATACAGTGACAGAATGCATTAAAGCCAAAGGTCTACCTTGCCTAAAATTGTATTTTTCAACAGAACTCGAGGAAAAATGCATTAAATTTTGCTAATTAAAATATGCATGCTTCACACAGTGCATAATAGTTGACCCTATTTCTCAGATCAAAGGGCTGGAAATACATGCAAAGAGAAATCTGTCTTCCTCAAAAAATCCTAAAGGATTTAAATCTTAGAATTGGGAATCTAATCAAAGAAAGAGATTTTTGTAGGAAACAGAGATGGCTTTTCCCACTTCCTTATCAGGTCAGGGTTTTTTTTCCCACAGAAGACTATCTTACCTAGTTCATAATTTAAATTAACGAGATTGCACCCAAGATGCCACTTCAAAACCAAATTGTACTCCATGTTGGCTAGTAACTTCTCTTTAGCTCAACTTTTGCCTTGCTCATGTTCATCCCAGCTTTGTTAGCTGTTCCACTGCATACCACCAAAACCAAGAGCATTTCTTGCCTTGAAATTCATTCTATCCATCCACTCCACCAACACCTATTTTCCTTTAACTGATAAATGAATGTGTTTAACTAATGGGTAGTGGTTAGTGTTGGCCTGTGAAAAGGGGCATAGGGACAATTCCCTTTCTCACTCAGCCACTCTCTCCAGATGAACTGTGTTAATGGCAAATACATCTTCAATGCTCCATGTCACTCTTCCTAACTATACTTCTTACTGCACCTATCACATACAGATTATTTGCAATGTTGAACAGCTGAGATGCACAGTGAGCCAGATGTTGCAAATGGAATACACAACCTTTTAGTCACAAACTAAATTCCACAAACTTTTACAGACACTGGAAGTCATCAACCAATAATAAAGATGATGATCTCAGATGTGGTGAGGTGTTACTCATTTCATC